GGTAGAGTTCTGTTCGGTACACAATGTCTTGTACCTACTTAGATACCGTACGTAGTAATTGATTTAGACTCCTAGCGAGTCCTAAAGGGCCTACTTGTAGCATCTTTGTGACACCAGCCAAGTACTCGCGCAGCAGCGTCCAGTGTTGATTCTGCAGCAAAGATGGCCATCCAGTCTTCACGCAAGTTGGTGCGTATGGCTGACCCCAGTATGCCATATTCAGTTGCTTCTGCCATGTACATCTTCTATCTACGCCTGTCTGGAAGTATATTTGTGTGTTGTTGACTCCGGCTTTGATGCAATCAAGAACTGCCTGCAAAACTTGAGGAGACAGCTTGTGGTGACTGGACTGGGTCATTGCAACAGCTACAACACTAAAGGAATAATTGTGATAGCTTAATTATATGTAAATAAATAGCTTCAACAAATGCTGTACTGTGCAATTGCTCTTGATTCTCAAAAATCTGATATTTCCATAGTAAAAACATCTGTGCGCGGAACACCCCGCAAGTCACGGGGTGAGGCCGGTGTTTTGCAAACCATAATAGCCCGCCAAGCTTCGTCCCAATGTCCTGACGATCGGCCGACCGACCTTCCACTAAATTGCCACGTCACGATCGGCTTTGCAGAACGTCCGAGTACCACGATCAAGCCGACCATCACATACACAAGACACAATGACAAAGGGCAGGCAGATGTGGGTGCACAACTGCTGCACGACGTGGGTCGTCTAGGTCATGATTCTGCTTGTCCGCGAAGACTCGTCGCGGTCATATTAGGAAAACGGCAAGATTAGATTGGACGAAGCTGGCTACAACGAACTGCTTGCGCATTGACTGTCGGCATCACTGTGGTGGGTTGCGACGTAACGACTTTATGCAGCAAGACAGGCAAGCAGCCTTACAGCACAAGCTATTGGCATAGTGAGTAAAGTGAACTATTGTAGAGAGGTATCGTTAGACACGTCGCGATCGCAAAGTACACAACTGCTTGCTCTACAATGTATGGATGTGCTGTTAGCAACCTTAGGCGAAGGGCTGGTACACGGGCAAAGACACGCTCCTTGCCTACAAAGCTCTGGACGGCAGACCTAGTCGATCGACAGATGTCTGCTATTGTTGCCCCCATTGACATGGCTTACTAGGCACAGTATTTTTTCAAACGTTCTTAGGTCCAAGGGCAATCACAGAGGTCCAGCAACCGCATTGCGGTGATTCTGTTACGACCACGGATTCGGAACGCCACGACAAGGCTCACAACTAGATACGATACCGAGACAACTGCAGCAAACAAGGGATGAGATGCCATAAGGGCAGCGTGTCGACTTGCTATATACTTGAGCAGGAGGATTGCTCAGATCGCTCGGTACTAAGTATACTGATCGTACCGAGTATACTGACGCGGCCTAACTGCTCGAGTTGCTTGACTGAGATTGATGATCATACTGAGTATCGCCGACGCGGCCTCACTGCTCGGGTCAATCGATACTATAATCCCTCGGCTCCTCTCGTATCGTTGCGTAGTCCTGTTCGTTCAGTGTTGTTGCGGGTTGCCCTTTGATCGTAACAAGCAGGTACTGGGAGCTGAACAGTATATACCCGTGACACATTGCGCGAATCCGCGCATTGCGCGCACGGACACGGTACAGCTGGGCGGGGCAAATCGGACCGATCCTCCAGTGGTAGGTATATCTGCTGACCCCGCGTTGATTCACTTGCAATATCAAACTCCAAGCTCTCTATAGCTACTGCAAGTCCCTTTTACAGCATATCTGCTCTTGCGATCAGCTCTCATCATGACGAAAGGATCGTCGACTTCGGGTGGTTCTCAGTCGAGCTCCGGCGGAGGCAGCTACACGACAACCAGCTCTGGTACGAACAGCCAGGTAAGGGCATGATCCCCTCACAGAGCTTTTCAAGGCATCTCACTCGTGCGGTATTCCAGGGCAACCACTACTGCTCTCGCGACTATGGCTCTAGTGCTTCAAACCAAAACTCCTATCATTACTCTAATAGCAACGGGTCGTATTATTACAGCAACCCCAACGTGAGCTATCTGCCTGCGTTACACTGTTAGCAGTAGTGCTGATGTAAACAGGGCTCAACGTATTACAATTCAGGGAACGGGCAGAGTAGATACTCGTCCGGAAGATAGTCGCCGGCACCATTACGTAGCAATCATGTACTATGCAGTTGCTTCACCCTCAAAATCACAACGACAGATGCATAGCTAAGAGTCTGAACCACGAGTTGGCAGGCTAACAACAAACAGGACTATTGAGTAGTATGTTGAGGCGCAAGATCAGATTCCAGGACACGCTAGTTTCGGCGTCATTATGGCGTGATTCCGGTAACACAATCATCGCGTCGACAGAACCACAAGAAAGTGCGTCGCTAGGACAAATGATGCCCAGCAGCAGTGGGCCAGGAAGTATGCCAATTCTGCAACTAGGAAAAAAACGAAGAATGCGCAGAATCGAGTCCTCTATCGATGCGGGCCAAAGTCCCTAACCCAGTCCCTTTAATTTATCCCATACGAGCCTTATCTTCGCGCAAGCTCAGTGTCAAACACCCAGCCTGATCCGCAGAGCACTGTCCGCATATCTCAAAATCATGCAGACCAACCGCATCAAGGGCTGCAAGCTAGAGATACACAATGGCCCGGGGCTGGACCACAGTAGCCTCCTATAGCCGATAGGACGACGGGACTTGTCGATGAAGTCTGTCAACAACGAGCTGCGCGTAGGAACCCTAGTCACTATATCTCCAGAAATTTTGTCCACGAGCCGCCGCTAGCTAATCCAGGGCCAGTTCCCAGGACCATAGCATCGGTCAGCGACGCAAAATCCAAGGCTCCACACGTCGCGGGTCAACTGCTCGACTAGCTACAAGCTGCAGCGTCAGGATTTGGACCAGCCCCAACTAAGGAAGTATGATAACAGAGAGTATGCAGCAGATACTACGAGAAAGCTTCGCCAACGGCAGCCTTACGCTCATTCTAGGATCTCTCATTATGAGCCCCCCCCCCCCCCCCCCAGGAGTAACCACCATCACTCCCCCAGACCTCGGTCTCCGAACCAGTGCCGATATGTCTGTTCTTCGAGACACTGCTGTTCAACTGCATGACGAGATAGAAGAGGAGATAGCAGGTCTGTGCACTGCCGCCAGTTCCATGTGAAGGGCAGCACCTTGGCTAAATTCGGTGTGCGGGGAATTTTGTCACCCGCCTGAGTAGGTATCTGGACATCCCCCCTCCCCCTCCTCCCCAAATTCTTCCATCAGTCTCTTGCCGGATCGCGTTCTATCCAATTCTAGCCGCAACTAGATCCTACAGCTAGAAAGGCTTCCGCTCTACACACCTTCAGGTGACAATCTCCGCTTCGATGATCTTGCCACTGGGAAAAAAGTCCTCGTCGCAAGCTATTCCAACGAAAATTACAGCGGTGTTGGACTCGCTGTACAAAACATGCCCAAGATTAGGCACTTGTCAATCGTTTTTGGCGCGCAGGATCAGCAGCTGGACTTCACGGTCCGCGGAGACAAAGGATTCCTCGGGCTGTATCTTCATGACAGCTACCAAGTTCCACCAAATGTGCTCCAAGAATGGAAGCCACACCACTGGCAAATGCAGGTAGGCTATGCATGATGGCAGGGAGTCCAGTATGAGACGTAGCCGCGCGTTCGAGTTGTGGGTACATACTATCATCCTAGCCTTTTCATCACGACTAAGAACTGGACACTACCAGATAGGTGAAGATGAAGTGCTCTCTGGATAGGTAATCAGGACAGCTACGGCATCCCAGTGAACACAATGCAGGTGCCAAATGCATACGACGGGCAGGCCCAGACGGAACTTGCAAGCTTGGAAAGTGGCCGTTAGTCATTGAGAAGCTGGACCACCATTTCCTTTGACCCACTCGCGCAGGTGCTGTGGCCCAAATTTTGCTGGATTTTGAACATTGAACACTCGCGTCGTGCCGCCCATCGAACGAGGGTCCCCGTTTGCTGTGCGATCGCTGTACTCAAGTTTCATCACTATCTCGCCATCTTCAGAGCCGAAGCTTACCTTGGACGGTATCCAATCGACCAGCTCCTCGCCAGCCATACAGTCCAAGGCCTCCAGCCAGGCTCTTTCGTCGACCCGACTAATGTTCAAGCGTTTCAGAATCACGTTGCACCTGGCCAGAAGCCAGCGCTTCATCCTCTCCGCTGCGAGGAGATCATTTATCTGTTGCGAGTGGTCCGTTGTTGAATCATCGGAAAAGGACAAACGCGAAGAGAGGTACCGGATCTGTCTGTGCCACGCTCCAATAGATCCTGATAACGGCCCATGCGTACGAACCAACGTCAGCGGCGAAGGGTCAGCATCGAGCCCCAATACGACTCTTCCAAGCTGAGCTGCGGCATTCGTGTCCACGCGGTGCAAGGTCTCGGGGTCAGGAAGAAGCGACAAGGCGCACGCGTGCGGGAACCTCCTGTACAATGTATCGATCGTGCCACTCAGCAGGACTTGGAGCAACCAGTATCGCGTGCAAATTACCATATTTTGAGCGGTATCAAAACGTACCCCGTGTAAGAGGATGTCTGCGACCGCATCTTCAATGGGTTCATCAACCGTTGCAATTGACGCTTCAATGAATCCGGCAAAGTGACTTTGCTCAGTTAGAAGCCATAAATTCTCAGCAATTGAAATAGCTGATGCAAGAACAACAACATCGCCAGGGCTTTGAAGCGCATGTCGTATGGTCAATATGAGGCGAGGCAAATGAATCAGGATATGCATCATAGCTCGGGTGGTTCTTTGTACTGTGGTTAGGGTACTGCTTGTGAGCGCGGCAGGGTGTGTTGAAGACAAGTAGAAGTCGTTATCGTATACTGATAGTCGGCCGGCCGTCATCGCAATGGTGATCTTTGTGGTATTAGTCATCATAGTCGAAAAGCATCAATGGAGTTAGTAACCCACATCGTCAATGTATGTATTGTCGATTATGTTCCAGAAGTTTCCCTCATCGGCGCCGGAGACGAGGCCGGATTTCAAGAGATCCGTCAGCCCAAGTGTGTGAATGGCATAATGCATGTTGTCCACTCCGAGTAAGACCTTGTAGCGTCAGTAGATGGGCGACAGCGACGATAGAGCATCCTCACCTCAGCCGCATAATGCAGCTTGGTTGCAATCACGAGATCATATGTCGGGTGCTGCTGTGTCGCAACGACACTTAGTTGTAGCTCCTTCAGGGCCTTGCTTTTGGTCCGCAACGCTAGGGCCTGGTTCGAGTGCGTTTTGTCCCGGTACACATCAAAGCTTTGGATGAAGAACTCGGCGGCCATTGTGACTACTGGACTAGATCCAATACGCGAAGGGATCGACTTTACCCAGTCACCGAGCGTGAACAGATGCTGATAGTTTGTGGAGTCAGGACGAAGCAAACCGATAAACATGGCAATCAGTCTAGTGTCAGGAGAGGAGGGTCGATGTGATACCAGAGACGCCTCTTGTTGCAAACGGAGCAGATGCGCCTGACACCGTCTTCTCTGATAGGACTCCACTTTTTTTGATGGCTTTCTGGCTTTGACTTTGACCGGAGCCAATGTCTGGAAGACCCCTCGCCCGTCTGCAGCTACCATGCCGCCTCTGAGATGCAAGTCTGAGGGATCTGGTGTACGAGCAATTGCGGGGTCGGGGGAAAAGACTGGTACAGAGTCCGGAGTAGACGATTCATCCCTGGCTTGGGAAGAGCTCAGTGGATAGATGGTTAAGGTAGCCATGGATCTTCCATATCTTGTCATCTGACTTGGGTTTTGCATCACCAGTGCAAAGCCCTGTCCTTGCGGGTAGGAGTAGTTGCACGGCCGGCTTCCCTTTTGGCAACCACCACATGATGGTTTCTTTTCATCACACTGGATCAGGTCAGCTTGGGTCACTAAACCAGCACTAATGTACATCTGGCTGGGGGTTATGGCAGCGTGCCCACGGTGATAGTTGTACCTTGACTTTTCTCTGTCTGCATCCATCACATTTGCCAAGCCGCCTCATCTGCGGATCAACGTCGTACAACGTTTGAATCCAGTGCTCTCAAAACTGTTGTACTTTTGACGCTTCAGGCACGAATCGCGGCCTCAGGGTAATCGAGTAACCGTAGAGGTGAATTGCACTGCGTTGAAATAACTCGTGGCTTTCAGCTACATATAATGGATCTGAGCAGATAAACACGATTGTTGCGACGTCGTGGATTTGTAGCAGATCATGTGATGTGCTGTGAAATTCGAGTGTGTTCCGATGGCGACCGCAGGGTGGTGAAGGAGGAAATGTTTAGTTGATCATCAAACAGGCAGCAGCTAAGAAAAAGTGGGGCGTTAAAACGTGGCGAGTGCTGACATTCTTGGCAGGATCAACCAACCAAATTCAATCAAACACAAAACAGAACAGCTTTGCGGCATCGTTTGAAGGATAATTACTCTATTAAAGCATGGACAACTTGCTAGATATCTATCCTGAACATCATTATCTAAGTCGACTTGGCCGCTCCAACAATGTCGCGTGTTTCGTCTAGTGCCTGTACAACCAGAACACCTGCATTCATGGATCCGTTCTTGATATTGCCAATGACCTCTGTAATCTTGTTGCCTAGTGTTCTCATTGTACTGCCTGTTGACACGCGAACCAGGTCCCGATCGTCAGTGACTGAGCGGGCAATGATGAACATTGAGTTCTGACTAGTGTTCTCTGACAGCGTCGTGCTATCTATGCTACTGAAATGATCTCTTTTGCTGCAAGTAACGCATCATGAGTTTCGACAAGACCTTTGCAAAACATGAGTGACCCAATCCTGAACGACTCGCGCCAGAGAAGACTATTGAGACGCGCGCCAATCGTGCCACCGATAACCTCAGAGACAAATTATCGCGGCCCCGCAGCGATACAAAAAGGCCGACCTTCCTGACCCTGGGGTCCTGAAGGTTATATACACCGCAACACAAATGCTACAACAATTATGGCAACGAGGTAGCCTCAGGTGACTCCAGAGTCCAAGAGACCAAGGTTGGTACTGAGTCCGGAGCGAGTGAAGAACAGTGGCAGGAACAATGCTGCAACGACGTCCGCGAGCTTCTCGGTCAGTTTTATGGCGAACCCTCCCTCGTGTGGACACATCCATCCGATCATGAAAGCGTCAAACATTGAATGGTCGCCATTGATATTGGTAAAAACTGCGGAGATGAGGACCAGGAAGATTGTTAGGGCGACCACACCCTGGGGAGGCCGTTTTGTCACGGTTTGGGGTGCTCCTGCCTGTCGTACCTCACCTCCATGAGAGTGACTGCCACGTCACACTAGCGTTGTTTACAGCTACTCACCTATATATACTGTTCGTAGCTTCACTCAATACAACCTCAGTACAATCTTCAACTTCTTCCCCTTGCGTACAGTTCTTCACTGAACTCTGACACGTTTTCTACGGAATGAGTCTTGAGTAGTACCCACATGAAGCCCGGTCGAACAGCGTATGCCAGAAACAGGGCAAATCTTGCGGTGTTGAGCAGAACGTAGAGACGTGACGCCGTTGCCGGAGTTCATAAGGGTAACGCAAAGGG